TGCTGGGTCGTGCTATCACAAACTATACGGTTGAGTCGATGATGGAGGTGGTTAATGAGGTTGCGAGCACGAAGCAACGCATTCCCATCGCTAGGCGCCTCGATATATGCTCTTAGCTTAATTAAAGCATCGCTGACTCCCTTTAAATCATCGCCGACAGACAAAACGCTCTCGAGAATGTCCTCCGAAGGAAAGAGTGGACCTAATTTAGCAATCTGCTCGCGTAACTCTCTGACTGTGTCAGCCGGGGTGGCACCTCTAATGGCAACTTCGTATTCTAACTCCGACCTTTGCAACGATAGAAATTTAACCGAGTGCGCCATTATAACACGCGTATAACCGCAAAGAGGTAAGTGTTGAGTCGTTACTGACTTAATCTACTCCGTTCCGTTACAATTATAATATCAGGTACTAAGAACGTTCTGGTTGACTAAAACGATTGGCGTATAAAAGAAGCAGTAAAAAGAATAAAGCAACTGCCACCAAAATAAAAGAAGCAGCGCAACAAAAAATTAAAATACGCAACTAATGTGTACTCGAACAATTAAATAAAACAACAACAAGATAATAATAATATGCCTAAGAATTAAAATAAAAAAACAATTGATTGAATAATTTAAAATACTACCAACGCATGCGTGACTCAACTGAACTAGAGTTCTGCAGCAACAATAGGGAATAGTTACAATTCATAAAATTTCAATAATAATAATATCACAGAAAAAAAAACCACGAGAAAAAAAACCTACTGCAGAATAGAATAGTAATACCTCGGAACAATATTAAATTTACTCTATCACAGATTACACAGTGACCACTCTGCACGCTAACTACTCTGTACAATGATAGAACGTAAACATCATAGGGTAGTGCACGGCATAGAGTGATTACGAAAAGTTATTCGAAACTAAACAAATTCTTAGTTAGGGATTAAAGTTTATGATCTCTCAAATAATACAAGTAAATAAATAAATCAATTGAAATTCAATAAAATTCCTAAAACAAACACAATAATGAAATTCGTACACATTAGTTGCTGCAACCAAAAAACAAAAAAAACAAAAACGTTTCACAAACACAAAACGACACAAACACCAACTACTCCTACGCAGTGAAATCAGACCTTTTTTACCACGTTTATGGGCGCCAGTGTGGCGGTTGGAGTTTAAAATAAGGCAACAACCAGTCATAAAAAAAAAATTATGTATTGGTAAAAGAAAAGGTCGTGGGCGTGGTTCCGATAATTTAAAAAAAGTGCCCGTCTGGCTTCACTGGCAGGGTCAGGTACTCCCCTATGTGGCCGCGAGGTGGTCGAGCAGGGCCGGGGGGTTGGACTGTTCACGGGGAGCGCCGTGGGCAGCTGGCTGTGGCGGTGGCGGCGTCGAGGGGAGGCCTAGGCCCTCTTAAGAAGGACGACCGCCACGGTTGTAGTCGTAAAATTGCACCCTGGAAACAACGTCGTCCACATTTAGGTCCAGGTAATAAAATGCCGCCGATTATGAACCCCCGGTATATCGCAGGCTAGCAGTAGATGGGAGCACAGAGAGTAGCTGGCGGGTGTTCATAATCAGAACGGAGTTACAAGGCGGAATGGAAGGCAAGCGTCATAGCGGTGAGGCGCAAATTAAAATACACATGAATTAAAATTACGGCAAGTGTAAAATACTGTTTAAATGTACCAGGATAACTAATTTAGGCTGTGCATTGGTTGAAACATGATGGTGACTTGCGATATTTGATCGCGGTGCGAAATGTATGAGACGCCATTTTGTAACGGTACTTTTGCCAACGCACACAGCGGCTACATACATTACTTACATGCAAATAACACTAATAACGTGGCAATTAAATAGCTAAAAGCAAACAGCCTGGCATGATCAAATTACACTACCTATAAAACACTTTCACTACTTAAAACTAGGTAACGTTTCAACACTTACCCTTACGGGGTGCAAGACGATACGGAGGTCTCGGTGACGAGAATTAATGAAAAAACTATACGGCCACAGTGCCGGAATTATTATATTATTTTAAACTTTTTCCAAAATGGGATTAAAATTTGCAAGCGCGTACGAGGACACAAAGCAGAGCTTGTGAACGCGGCTGCAGTGGTAGTGTGCGCCTCCCAGGGCGCTCGGGCGGAGAATGACCGGGAGCGCGACGCCGTGGAATGATACCGGCCGGGTAAAACTCTGATGCGAGAGTTGCAAAGCGCATAGAGTAACGAAGCGTCAGAGTGTTTGTTCGAAATACAATATTTTAATATTTGATTTATTATTTAATTCGTTCTTTTAGTTTACTGATTTGTTTTATTAATAGGATACCTAAGTTAATTATAGAATTATTTTTGTTAATAACTTTTATTTTATTTTTATTTAGTTTATTAAATGTTTATTTAATTTTAATAAACCGTTTAATTATAATTATGCATACATGTACGTGCAACGTTACAACGCCTAGCCTTTTCTTAAGAAATAAAGTGGTAAACGAGCACACAGTCCACCTGATTGTAAGTAGATGCTATAGCACATACACATCTAGATCTATTCTCAATTAAGTATCAAAGCGCAGATGCCTTGTCACTCCTGAGGACAAAGATGGAATGCCTCATTTCCAGTAAAAAGAGTCTCCAGCAACCCACGGAACACAGCAGCATAAAGCTCCTACACTCGGCGTCACAGAAATGGCACCTCTTTGAAAAAAAAAGTTACTTGAATATCTGGCTCTCGGCGTTTACATTTTATCAAGTCAATATTGGTATCAACTGAAAGTGCGTTTATTATCCCCACACGTGCTACAACTATAATATAGCTGCAGCACGGCCTTACTACATATGCCCTATTAGTATGGCCCTTTTTTGTAAGGTGTTAATTAAAAAAATCGGTATCTGGTTGTGTCCTGTTAACGGCCGTGTGTTTTACGTGAGTTCGTATACGTACATGTACGTGGCGAAGTTTAGGGCGCCTCCTCTACTAGGTGGAGTGACGACCTGGTAAGACATGTAGGAAATTGGCTGCAGATGGGACAGGACCGTGCCTTGTGGCGTTTTTTGAAGGAGGCCTATGTTCAGCAATGGAATTGTGAAGGTCTGTAATGAATGAAAAAAGTGTACGTAACGAAACGACCTCCAAATGGCTGTGCTCTCCACCCCCATTCCGCCGCGCGCGATGCGTCACAGTCCTCACACAGTGTGATGAATTTTTAAATCCTTTATAGCTATCGAATGGTTTAATTAAATTTTGGATATAGACGATAGATGTAATTACAACACCAAACTGTATCCCCCGATTTTGTGATCATCAGTTTTCTGATTGTATCCCACTATGGAAGTAAATTTAAAGACATAATATATTGCATTCGTCAATATAATCTATTCGAAAAATATCGTCGTGTAGTGGTAGCGTAATAGATTCCAATACTATATCATTCCCCGTAAGAAACGACAGAGGGAAATAAAGCAGATGGTTGGACGCAAACTTGTCTCATCATCATCATCATATTACAGCCCTTCACAAGTCCACTGCTGAACATAGGCCTCCCCCAAGGAATGCCACAAAGCACGGTCCTGAGCCACCTGCATCCATCGACTTCTTGCATGCCTTACCAGGTCGTCACTCCGTCTAGAGATGGGTCGCCCTACACTTCGCCTACCGGTACGAGGCTGCCACTCGAGAACCTTTTTTCCCCGAAATGTTGTCGGTTGTCGGTTGTCAGAGTGACCGACATAGCCCAACGGATTAGTAAGTTGAAGTGGCAATGGGCCGGCCATATAGCAAACTTGTCTGCCAAGGGATAATGTGCTCCAGATTGATTGATTAATTTTGATCACGGCGGCCAGTCTCAACGTAGACTAGCCATCTGCTCAGGACATGATTATAACTCACTCTCATAGTTCGATAGGACGATAATCCAACACGACAGGAGAGAGATCAGACCAATGGCTTTACGTGTTTTCCGAGGCATGGGGGTGAAACACCAACAACTTCCTGACTCCGGGCTGCTACTGAGAATTTCTTGACCGGAAAACCGAATAATCGATTTTTGAAACCCGGTATTCAGGGCACCTGGGAGATATTGGAACCCGGACTCTCATAATCAGCAGTCATGCTTACCAAAATTAGACCAACGAGACAGTCAGATCCCTATAAGGTGCAAATGAGTCCCCCTATGAGTCAGTCTAAGGAGAGTTTAAAGTAAAAGTAAAGTAAAGTTACAGCCTATATACGTCCCACTGCTGGGCTCAGGCCTCCCCCTCATTTCTGAGAGGGTTTAGGGCAAGGAAGTGTCCGCCGCGCTGCCCAAATGCGTGTTGACGAACTTCACATGTCTTCGAAATATTTTTTTTCTTATTCCTCAGACATGCAGGTTTCCTCACGATGTTTTCCTTCACCGCCGAGCACGTGGTAAATCAGCACTTAAAATTGCAATTAACAATTTCATTGGTGCCGGCGGGGATCGAACCCGGGTTACTCGCGTTCTGTTATATTTACAGCGAGTGTTAACCACTAAGCTACCACGGCTCTCTCTTAGGAGAGTTTAGTAGTACATTTTTGATAGAGATATAATAATAATAATAATGTATTCCAGACCGAATTAAGGTCACGGCGGCCTATATCAACGGAGACTAGCCATCGCCGCAGGACAGGATTATAGTGCCCAAGTGTATGCGCAAGCATAGATGCACTCTGTATTGCCTCACTCTCGTAGTCCGATGGGATGGTAAACCGACACAACCAGAAAGAGATCAGGCTTTACGTGCTTTCCGGAGCACGGGGGTGAGACACCGCCAACTTTCTGACACCAGGCAGCTATTGAGAATTTCTTGACGGAAAAACTCAATAATTGATTTTTTGTCTCGACCCGGGATTCAAACCAAGGACCTTATGATCAGCAGTGGCATTACTATAACCACTAGACCAACGAGGCAGTCAGATAGATATATAGTAGTAATAAATGGATGAATAAACTTAATAATTAAGGTGCCTACTCACTAATTTCAGGTGGAGTCTTTATCGCTACTCTATTCGGTCTCGGATTAGCGATGGTCACGTTGGCGTGGGAAGTATTTTACTATAAGCGCAAAGAAAAAAATAAAATAAGGGCCATGGACGCGACCATAGAGAAAACCGATCCGTTCGCGCCAAAAATCCGAAAGACAATGAAAGACGGTGTTGCCAGATTGCGGAAGCGGGATAAAGGAAGCATCGGGAGAAATATTACTATTGGTGACAAATTCAAGCCTGTAGCGGAAAGAGGTGGCGTTTCGTATATCAGTGTTTATCCTAAGGGAGAATACAGACCTTAATTTCGGAGTACGAAAATAAAGGGCTTACTACAGTAGTCGACATAGACATAAGTTTTATTAGCATCAATACACTCACAAAATATACGTTTAGAAGAAAATAAAAACATAAAACATAATTTGCTTATAATCAACTAATGGAATGATAGTGTGATGTTTTTATTGTAACTTGGTTTTAGTTTAGCAAAATTGTTTTCTGCACTATACATAGATTTGTTAGAATTATATAGATTGAGATAATAAACGAACTGTTGTACAATTCAATGATTGTGTGATTTTAAGCCCATTATAATTAGAAACGATCAAAGACTTGCTACTTGACGGGCACTGCCCCTTGTATGTGGTAGAGCTACGCTGCAGCTATATTTTGATTGTAGCACGAATGGGTCGGCTCTACCGGGGAAAGACCCGCGAGATAAAAGATATCTGCGTATTCCTCGTTGGAAAATGATTGCCATGCATGATCTCCGCGTCTTGGTGGTTCCGCCGCCATAAAACTTTGAAACCCAACTTCTTTAAGTGTAACAGGGTGGGATATGCGCGCGTGTGTACGATGCCTGTAATACTGATGACTGATTGAACAGTTTCTTCGTGTTTAACTTGTTTCTAATTTCACACTAAATGTAAACAATAGCGTAAGTTCAAACGCACAATCTTTTACGAGCATTCCCACAGCTGTTGATAAGGTTCCAAGAAGCGGTTGTTTGGGATTACCCAAAACATTGTTACTCGGAACTTGTCTACCTGGCCCCTTTTTTTCAAGTTTTTTCTGTACTATGTAAGTTACAAGCTAAATTGATACTTCGTTGGGTAGCTAGATAAGTAGGGATGTTTTTAACATGATTTGCACAATTGGTCACATACAATTATTTTTCACAAAATCATTTTTATTTTTAATTACTTATCTTCTGTTTGGAAAAAGTTGTACTTTTAGTAGCGTTACTTCGAAAATGATGAGACTTTTTGCACACTGTAGTATTGATAAATAAGTATCCAGGTTTTCATTAAATAAAAATAATAAAATGAAAATAATACAGCTGTAAGTTTTTTTTAGAAATTTTTGACACCAGACTTTTGGGATTTTTGAAAAAAATAATTAAACCTAAATATCTCGAAATTGGTCCACATTTGCATAACGCATTTTGTGGTTCATTTGATAGGTTATGACCTCAACTATCACGCCTTGGCGGGAATACGTCGAGAAAACTAAAAAATACGTACAATGTTAAAAAAACTATCTGTAACAATATAATCATACACATTAATATATTTAATATATATATATATATATATATATATATATATATATATATATATATATATATTCAGTATGTCCCAGTAATGGTGGATATCTGGTAGTGCTTTTCGGGCGGGGTATAATAAAAAAGTGGTTAGTTTGTTCTATCCCGAACGGTTCGCGATCTATAAAAAAAAAACTAAAAAATACATACAATGTTAAAAAAAATATCTGTAACCAATTTTTGTAATGAAATGCCTACTTTTACACATTATCGGCTATAGCTCCGTAATTCATTACTTACTATAATACTATAATATTAAATACATGATATGCTACTGTTTTGAAATTCTCATGATGTAGGCAACATTTTCAAATGGTAATTGGTACCATACAGATCCCATACGTTTTTTTTTCACCACAGGTGCTCAAACTTAGCAGTTAAAAAAAAGTAAAAAATTAAAACTTATATTCAGTACCGTCTTGTAAAATACGACTCATAGAAGTTGAAAAATTTTAATTTAGAAACATCATTATTAGGGAACACATTAAAAGAAAACAATCCGATTAGGGCATTATAATGCGGACGTGATATCCACAAACGTGGGCAGAAGTACGAATTTTCGGAATTTTACAAAACATGGCGTAGAGCGCGAACCGTTCGGGATAGTATTTTTTATTAGGGAACCAAAGCCACTCCCCCCCCGTACTCGTACCGAATTATCCACCATTACTGTTATCTATATCTATACATATAATAAGACAGTAACGAAAGAAAAACTGTACATTGATTTTTCGAGAAAAAATAAGTGGCTTTTGTTAGAAAAACGTAACTGATGACAAAAAGTGACGTTTTAGAATTTTTGTCTGTTTGTCTGTGTGTATGGTACGGCTTCACGCCAAAACTACTAGATATATTGAATTGAAATTCACCAAAAATGTTCTTTGTAAACCAAGGAAGGCTTTAGGCTACATATTATCACGCCGTATGTTATAGGAGGTAAGCAGTATTGATTTTAAAAGGTTTTTCTTCGTAACTGAATGCACAAAATGACATGTTACTAGTTAAAATAAAAATAAAAATTTAACCCTGGGAACATAATAATCACGCTATTTTTATAAAGGAGCGGGGCAGTAATAATATTATAAATTGCAAGGGAACAGCTGTTTAACAATATGTCAACGGGGAATTTAGCGGTAAGGTAATTGATTTAAGTGTGTAATTCTTAGTTTTGTTCCTTACTGCTGTTACCATATTTTTTTAATGCAAAAATAATGTACTTGTCTATTAAATTAACGACAATTTAGTTTTAATTCATTCAGATCGGATTAAGATGGAATTTAGCTATGCCTTTTAGAAAAAGATCAAATCTGTTTCGAAACTCAAGCGTTTCTAAGATGCGTATGCTAGTTAAGAGTAGCAGTAGTTTCTCTCGAACCCACGCAGAGCGTGAACAACGGCTAGGTACTAACCGTGAGCGTAATGCACTAAGTTTGTCCGCAGAAACTAGCACGCAACGCCAATTACGACTAGAATTTAAACATTAATATTAATAAATACAAAAATGAAAGATCTGGAACGTCTTGAATCGTCTCGCGCATCACGTTGTTTTCCCGTCCCTGGGCTCATAGAATTCGACATCAGACATTTTAGATCTTCGATTTTGACGACCCCGTTGTCGCTGGCATAAGTAACATCATCCGCGTACGAAGTTGCGGGCAGCAGCTAGTATATATATATATTTTTCAACATGTAACATAATTAACGCACTTTGAGAAAGAAAAATCGATTCCTATCATTATATATAGTAATTTGTGTCCAAATATAATTTCAAAAAGAAAAACGAACAAAGCTTGGTCATAGCTCGAGCTCGAAATTTTTGAGCTCAAAAATTAATCAATTAGAGGATAGTCGAGTGTTTCAAGCTCAAAACAAGCGGTAAGTTCCAGGTTTGGCCTACCGCGGTCAACAGCTTTTCAGGTTTTATCTGTTACGGTCAATACGTCTCACCCCTAAATGTTAGAAGGTATAAATAACACAATCACTCGCCGTTAATTGGCGGAGTGAGAAAACCCGCTACCCGGTATCATCTCGTGGGTGTCGTAAGAGACGACAGAGGGAAACTGAACCAGGAGATGGGCAGCAGCATCTTCTTGGGCAGCGTTCGGGAAGCTTCGTCAGGTCTTCTCGTCGCCTATACCGCAAAGATTTAAGACGAAAGTCTTCGACCAGTGCATCCTGCCAGTACTCACATATGGTGCCAAAACGTGGACACTAACGGTACGAATACTCCACAAACTCAAAGTCACCCAGCGGGCGATGGAAAGAGCTATGCTCGGAGTTTCTGTGGTAGATATGATTCGTAACGAAGAAATCCGCTGGAGAACCAAGGTCACCGGCGTAGCCTTCCGTATTTGTAGGCTGAGGTAGCAATAGGCTGGTCACATTTGTCGCAGAAGCGATAACAGTTGGAGTACGCGTGCCATAGAGTGGAGATCGCGTTTAGGTAAACGTAGTGTGGGACGCCCGCTGGCTATATGGAGCGACGATATGCGCAAGGCGGCTGGCAGCAACTGGATGCGTTAAACCGAAGATCGGGCTAAGTGGAGGAGGTCTATGTCCAGCAGTGGACTGCCGCAGGCTGATGATGATCTTCTTTATAACGATTCAAAATAATAAAAAAGCTGCGGTTGCAAGTCTGCCTGCTAAGCGTGGCACTGGCAAACTGCCCCTTTCAGTTAAAAAAGGGGATGTCTATGTTCTGCAGTAGAATTTAATTTGGACTGTGATGATCTAATGATAATGGTTACCTAATCACTTAATGATGGATAAAACGATTTGGACAAAATTTTAAGTACACAAAAGCAGATGAGAGATACCTGGAATATCACTTGGAATTATTTTTTATAGGATAGGGTGACAAACGAGCACACAATCCAATTGATGGTAAGTGGTTGCGGTGGCCCATAAAAATCTACACCTATCCTCGATTACGAATCGAAATGCAGATGCGTTGTCACCCGTGAGGACTAAGATGGAATGCCTCATTTCCAGTAAAAAAGGGTCTCCTGTTCTCTACACTGACCATACGAAACATAGCAACATTAAGCTACTATTTGGTATTCCGTGAGATCGTAATCCTTCCATTCGTGCTACAACTATTCTTCTAATATAACTTCAGGATGGCTCTACCACGCTACCACGTATATATTAAGAGAAAATTTAAGTCGTTTGTTTCTATTCGACGTAGTAAAGCAGCGGAGAATAAATATTAAGGCGCCGTAGAACATCTCTTCAGCTTTAACAGATAGAACTAAAAAAAATTTAATGTGGTAGAGCCACGCTGCAGCTTTATTATGGTTGCAGCACGAATGGGTCGACTCGACTGGGGAAGAACCACGCTCTCACAAGAATACCAGCGTGATATTGCAGCATAATTCTTTTATTTCTTTTTCATGAAAATGTGTCTTTTTCCCCCCCTCCTCCTCTTTGGTAGAGGCAGTTTATGACATAATTTGAACAAGGGCAAACATGCACACCCGGAATAATTGTTTGTAGGCATAATAATTGTTTGTAGGAATAAATCTTTATCCTGTGCGGGATTCGAACCCGCGTGCCACACCGCTGTAACTCAATGCTTAAAACCACTGCACCATGAAGAATAATGCTTCAATATTTAATGATTTCTTAAATTTACGCGAACACTACACATTGAATAAAACTATTATTTACGGATTTTTATCGCGTTTAATTACTTTAATTTATTTTTATTATTATCCCGACGTTTCGGGTGCTTTACAGCACCCATGGTCACGGGGGGTACTGAGATGTTTGACGTCCCAATGTCATAGTTAGTCCGGCTACCTTCAGTTTTTTTAATATTAATTTTTTGGTCTGATTTACGCAAAACGAGCTTATAGTATCATGAAGTCTTGCAGTGGTATGCTTGGGTTTGGGTTTAATTTTGTTAATTATAGGATCCCAAGCAGATGGTAGCACCCAACCTTCTTCTCTATTGAAATTTGCATGTTTTTTTTAATTTCAATAGCCTCGCGTATCATCCTTGGTAGGAATCGGTGTTCTTTTGCGAGAATTTGTGGTTTATCAAATCTAATGTATTGGTGGGGACGATCTTGAACATTTTCGCAGACTGCAGACTTCCCGGAGCGTCGGTGCTTCACATCAGCTATATGTTCCTGCACGCGGGTTTTTATAGATCTCTTTGTTTGACCTATGTAAGAGAGACCACATTCACAATCTAGCTTGTACACACCTGCATCTTGTAGAGGAATATTACATTTGATGGATGGTAAAAATTGACTAATCTTCTTCAGCGGCTTGTAGTATGATGATGAGATGATAAAAATAAATTAAAGTAATTAAACGCGATAAAATCCGTAAATAATAGTTTTGCTTCAATATTTATTATGGTGTGTTAAGAAAACCTTTTTTCTGGTCGAGGCATCAACAAAAGAATGAAAGAAACATATAATACAGCACGCCACAAACAATGTTATGCACCTAAATGGCCCAAAGTAGCCAGCCTTTCGGTTTTCTACAAGATGAATTTCGGAGTGTGCGCATGAATTGCATAATTTAGTTCCTTCTCCACCATCGGACAACCAGATCTTCCGCCAGTCTCCACCCTTTCGAACCAAACGGTTTGCTTCGTCGTTCAACATACGTACAGCAAAGGAGTAAGTTGCCAGCAATCTGTCTTTCCATCCGATTACAATGGGGGGGTCTTGGCAAGAGTGAATAGGCGTTTGTCAAGTCAGTGCGTTTCATCATCTTAAACTTCATCACCGCTTACCATCAGGTGGGATGGTAGTTAAGCGCTGGCTTACAGTAATCTTACTTACTATAGCTGCAGCGTTTCGGCAGCACATCCTAATCAAAACGTTTATAGACCAGGATATCATGAAATCTTGAGAGATATTTTCAGACGTTGACAGAACTTTGTACGAGCTGCTTGGGCGATCCAATGTGCGCGTGTGGGTTCATGCGGGCTTAACAAAAGACTCCGCTAAAGCCTTGAAGTCAATGAGGCCAGAACCCGGTTTCTACGTGATTATTGGCGAAGGTAGATTCGTCAGAGATGCATACAAACGCGTGAGTACTTCATAATTCTTATTTATAAGTTTAAGACAGTGAGACGTAAATAAAAACGGAGTGTTAAGATTGAAAAAGACATCGAATTTTAATTACATAATTGAATCAGGCGTTAGTGTAGAATAAATCTATATGTACTAAATGACCTTTTTACCGTCTGGAAAAAAATAGGGCATAACATGTGAACGGAGTAGAAACCTATGGTACTGATATTGTACAAAAAACAAAAACAAAATTTTTGAATTATATAAGTAAATATATAAAATCTATCGAAATTTCTAATCATATCTACCAATTAAAATTTCTGTCTGTCTGTTAGTTCCGGGTTATATCCGAAACGGCTGGACCGATTTTGACGGAACTTTCACTGGCAGATAGCTGATGTTATAATGTTGTTCCGGCTAATCTTCGAAACGGCTGGACCGATTTTGACGGAACTTTCAGTGGCAGATAGCTGATGTTATAATGTTGTTCCGGCTAATCTCCGAAACGGCTGGACCGATTTTGACGGAACTTTCACTGGCAGATAGCTGATGTTATAATGTTGTTCCGGCTAATCTCCGAAACGGCTGGACAGATTGTGACGGAACTTTCAGTGGCAGATAGCTGATGTTATGATGTTGTTCCGGCTAATCTCCGAAACGGCTGGACCGATTTTGACGGAACTTTCAGTGGCAGATAGCTGATGTTATAATGTTGTTCCGGCTAATCTCCGAAACGGCTGGACCGATTTTGACGGAACTTTCACTGGCAGATAGCTGATGTTATAATGTTGTTCCGGCTAATCTCCGAAACGGCTGGACCGATTTTGACGGAACTTTCAGTGCCAGATAGCTGATGTTATAATGTTGTTCCGGCTAATCTCCGAAACGGCTGGACCGATTTTGACGGAACTTTCACTGGCAGATAGCTGATGTTATAATGTTGTTCCGGCTAATCTCCGAAACGGCTGGACAGATTTTGACGGAACTTTCACTGGCAGATAGCTGATGTTATAATGTTGTTCCGGCTAATCTCCGAAACGGCTGGACCGATTTTGACGGAACTTTCACTGGCAGATAGCTGATGTTATAAAGAGTAGCTGAGGCTCATTTTATTTTAGAAAAAGAATTAGGGTTCCGCGAAAAAATTCAAACCAATGAAATCCAATTTTATAAATTATAAATGGTAAAAAAAAATAGTCCCGCTGGGTTTCTTGCTGGTTCTTCCCAGGACAGAGGTTTTTTTTGCGAACCAGTGGTAAATTAAAAAAGTGACTTTCAATAAGTATTTTTATAATCTACATTGAATAAAAAAGTTTCTATTTCTATTTCTATTTCCACGCGGGTGAAGTCGCGGGAAATAGCTAGTATTAGATAAATCTGTGTTAATGTGCAGTTGAAAATGAATAGAGCTTCCTTAATATACACTTTAATTATTTACCACCATTTTCAATTTTTCAATATCCTGTACCAAACAGGCGGTCAAGGAGAAGCTGGTTCGACGCGACTACCGCTGGAATCTGGTGCTGACTGATTACACGGCGTCCAGCTTTGATCTGTCGCAGCTGGTGTTTTCAACTGTCATCCTCCATGTCGACCAAGTTGAGTGTTGCAAGTTGCAGGGCTTGGAGGAGAGCTGTAACTGTCCTTTGGAGATCGAGGTAATTTCTATTTGGTTCGTAAACCATACATAGTAGGTGATCATGATCATGAGGTCCCGGGTTCAAATCTCGGGTAGTTCCAAAAAATTAGTAAAAATTTTTCTGTTTCATTAATATTACTATTAAATTAACAGTGTAGTGGCGGTGTAAGAATATCCTCTGCCCTATAATCGTCCCATGGGTATCGTAAGTGACAGAGGGAACCAAACCCGGAGATGGGCAGCAGCGTCGTCCTGATAACGATTAGAAAATAATAAACTGCAATTGCCAACCCGGTTGTCAGGCGTGGCAACTACGGTAAGCTTATGGGGTGATTTATGTTCAGCAGTGGACTTTGATAGGCTGTCATGGTGGAATCAAGGCAGAGTCATGATAATCAAGGCAGAGTCATGATAATTCAAGGCAAAGTCATGATAATTAATTCCTCTTTTGAGGCAACCTATGGGGTGATTTATGTTCAGTAGTGGACTTTGATAGCCTGTCATGATGGAATCAAGGCAGAGTCTTGATAATTAAGGCAGAGTCATGATAATATTTCCTCTTTTGAGGCAACCTATGGAGTGATTTATTTTCAGTAGTCGACTTTGATAGGCTGTCATGGTGGCATCAAGGCAGTCATGATAATCAAGGCAGAGTCATGATTTTGTCTGCTTGATGGCTCAATCAAGGCAGAGTCATGATAATATTTCCTCTTTTGAGGCAACCTTAAAAGATGAGTTAGTTATTAGACTGAACTATGAAGTAAATCTTTTCTGAATACGACTAAAGAATCCAAATTGATGGACTCTAGTAAAGTTCAATGACTAATAGATGTGGTTGCAACCTAAAAATTAAGTGACCCTAAATTAGTTATGTGTCAACATTGTTAAGTGTTTTTGTAGCCGCCTAATAAAAAAAAATTTCCTTTTTTTAAATATTTATTTCTCCCGACAACTACCCCAAAATCCTATTATTTCCTAAATTTGTCTAAATATTTTGCTCTTCCGATCTGACAGACCTATCTGCTAACCGAAACGCGGCTTCACAACATTTTTTTATATTATAGTGCAAACATCTTACTCATTTATTTTCAGAGGAAGCAATTCATTTTGAACGCCCTTCTTCAGGTCGTAGCGAATGCTTTTACCAAGCTTACAGATGTAACCTTTGCTTCCGTACGTTGTGGTGACCGCGTAGTAAACTCAGAGGAGTTTGGAGACAGATTCCGTGACCAGATTGGGGTAGAATCCTCCAGTTATGATACTCTTTTGTTTTGGGATGCTGAAAGGTAAGGACATAACGCCCGCGTATAATAATAATAATTCTTTATTTCAGATGTCAAAGATCCTTAAGTTGTTAGTACGACTTAGATTAGGTTAGCAATTGAGGACATTAAATAAAATCGAATTGAATCAAAACTAAAACAAATTCAAACCCAAAAGGAAATCACAATGAAAATAAAATAAAAATAATAATCAAATAATAGTAATGTCAAAATTAAAATACAATCATACAAAAAATCAAATAAAAATCAATCGAAATCAAATAATGTCAACTAAATTAAATTAAAATAAATACAATCAAAATTAAATAAAATGTCAAAATAAAATCAAATGAAGTCAATTTGGATCTAAATTAAATAACACTGTTTTGGGACTGCCACGTGCCCTAAAGATGTGGTTTTTTGTGAATAATGGCTCCAAAACCATTATTGGTATTCCGCAAACATCGGTGATGCACTACAGAAACGAGTTATATGGACTCGTAGGGTGTCCAGCGACTTCTTGGTATAACTGGCCTACAGATTTCCCGTGTACATGTTTTGGCAATACGCTTTAAAAAGGGTCATCTTTACGATTTCGCTACAACGATAGAATCTGCGAGCCATCAACTTCAACTCAATCAACTCAATACACATACACATAATTTTTTAGCCTTTCCATGAATACACAGACTGGCATTAATCGGATTATGTCAGTTAGTTGGATTGGTCTTTCTTTTATCATAGTTGTGTAAAGCTCTGACTTTCATTTTAGTCCTCAAGGGTGGCAACGTGATGATTGAGTATTCGGTGATGATATAAAACGCATCTACACTTGGATTCTTGATCGAGGTTAGATGTGGATGTATGTATGTGAGCCGTGATATTTATTTACCATCTAGTTTTTATACGTGTTAGAGCCACGTTGCAGCTATTATATGTTGGAAAACGCGTGGATCGACTTGACTTGACCGGGAAAGATGATGCTCTCACTAATACCATATAGAATACCAGCGTAAAATAGCAGCTCAATGGCTGTGTTTGGTATGGTAGAGTGTAGAAAACGGATGCTCTTTTTACTGAATAAGGTTTTGTCTTCGAGGGTAATAACGCATCTGCATTTTGATTCTTAATTGAAGATAGTTGTATATGTCTGTGGGCTACAGCAGCTGGTCCATGTGCTCGTTCATCATCATCACCTATAAAAATGGAATGAACATAATAATGTTAATTCACATATTAACATTTTAACCAGGTCTAGCCTCTTTCTACGTTCCCGGTTCATTCTCTCTATTTACAAGCCTGATGCTGGTCTAGAGACTGTAGGGAATTGGTCTGCTGACGAGGAGTACAAGCTACTTCCAGGAGTTGTACTGGAGCCGTTGCGAATGTTTTATAGGATTGGGACCGCACCTGTAAGTAATTTTTAAGAATACTTTGTTTTTAATAGCGATTTTAAAATATCAATGTTTTGAGTACTTTGCATCACCCAGGGATCAGAATTTTGAAGCCTTGTAGTGGTATGCTTGGCTTTGGATTTTATTTTAGGATCCCAATTTTTTTCAAGAAGTACAATGGCACTATTTACAGTAGCCTTTCGGCAAGAATCACTGTTTTAGCGGATGATGGAGGGAATATTTCACGGTTGCTCAGAAGTTGCTAAGAAGTCTGAAGTTGCAACGTGGTAGAGCCACGCTGCAGCTATATTATGGTTGTAGCACGAATGGGTCAGCTCGACCGGGGAAGGAACACGCTGTCACAGAACACCAGCGTAAAATTACAGCTTAACGCTGCTGTGTTTTATATGGTGAGTGTAGAGAACCGGAGACACTTTTTGATTAACGTAAAAGAACATATAGCTGATGTGAAGCATCAACGTTCCGGGAAGTCTGCAGTTTGTGGTCGTGTCCTAGACGGCCCTAACCATTACATAAGATTTGATAGACCACAAATCCTCGCGAAAGAACACCGATTCCTACCAAGGATGATACGTGAGGCTATTGAAATTAAAAAACATCCTAATTTCAATAGAGAAGGAGGCTGGGTACTACCACCTGCTTGGGATTCTATAATCAATAACATTAAAACTACACCCAAGCATACCACTGCAAGACCTCAGGACATAGTCAGTTCATTTTGCATAGATCGGACCATAAAAAATAATTAAAAAAGCTGAAGGTACTCCGGATTTAACAATGACATCGGAACGTCAGTTATTTCAGTCCCCCGTGACCATGGGTGCTGGAAAGCGCCCGAAACGTCGGGAATTAAAAACAAAAGTAATTAAAAGTAATATAAACGCGATAAAAATCCGTAAAAGTAGTTTTAATCAAAGAACCTTATAATTCTTTTAGGCTATACCCTGGACTATGCAGAAACATGACCCAGTAACCGGTGAAAATATGGTCAATGAGGATAGTGAGCCAATATACCATGGGTATTGTGTCGACCTCATCGACAAACTGTCTGAAGTAAGTGGCTATTTCTATATTTTCGCGAATGTTTGCCTTTAAAGTTGGATTCTTTTCTGCCTAAAATAAAAGCCTATCTGGGTTGGGTTACCCACTTCCTACTACCAATCAGCAGTGTTCTACCACTGCAGGGGGTAAGTAGTTCTTCTATTTAACGTGGTAGAGCCACGCTGCAGCTTTATTATGGTTATAGCACGAATGGGTAGACTCGACCGGGGTGGGACCACGCTCTCACAGAATACCAGCGTAAAATAGCAACCGGAACCGGAGACCCTTTTTACTGGAAACGAGGCATTCCATCTTAATCCTCAGGGCTGACGACGTATCTGCAATCTGCATTTCAATTCTTAATCGAAGATAAATGTAGAGATGTCTATGGGGGTGGGCCACGGTATCCACTTACTATCAGGTGGACTGTGTGCTCGTCTGCCACCCTTAATCTATAAAAGAAGTTATAGATTAGGAAACGAGTGAATATAACGCCTTGATACGTATCTTAATTAATGTTTTGCAATACTTAAACGTTGTAATGTATAACATTTAAATTTGTCCTTCGTACAATGCGATGGTCTAATGATATGGTGAGAGAAAGTAGCATTAGCCCCATCTAGAATTACAAATAAATACAAAATATACCTATGCAAAAATCTTCTTTTCTTTTTTTTTCTCCAATAGTTCGTAAATTCTAACGCTTATAACTGTTTGGAAATTGGAGCGAAAGATGCAGATGTGGCTGGTATCTTTTAGATATAAGTGGTAGAATCATGCTGCAGATATGTTGTGGTTGTAATACGAAAGTGGTGACTCGTTCGGGGAAGGATTACGGTCACGGTCAGCTTAATGCTGCTGCGTGTTCGTTTCGTATGGTGGCTGTAGAGAACCGGAGACCTTTTTCACTGGAAAGGAGGTTTTTCCACCTTAGGCATCAGAGGTTCCAACGCGTCTGTATTTTAATTTTTAATCGTGGATAGATGTAGATGTCTATGGCCCACAGACCACAGTATCTACTTACCGTTAGGTGGACTGTGTGCTGGTTAGTCACCATTATTCTATAAAAAAATTGGAGTGATATAAATCCGTGGTTTTAAATTTTGATGATGTTAATTGTAGTAGTGATGATAAGATATGAGTTGGTAATTGTAGTTGGAAATTACAACGTTGATGAGATGTGGTTGCAAATTGTAGCTCTGTTTACATGTGATGATTAGGATGCAGATGGGAAATGAATAAGCCTGTTGAAATTTCAAACATAAAATTTACAGGCCATGGAATTTGATTATGAAATCGTTTCTCCCAAATCTGGTGGCTTTGGGCAGAAGCTGGCAAATGGATCTTGGAACGGACTCGTGGGAGACTTGATGAGAGGGGTAAGTTGACAAGGAGGAAGTCAGGAACGTTATTGGCGAGATGTAAAAATCTAGACTTTATTATTGGAGTTAGATGGTGCTGTGAACAGGTAAGAGGTAAGAGCAGGTATTTTATACGTGGTAGAGTCACGGCGAAGTATATCGTGATCGGGTCAAAATAAGTTATTGGGGTTTGTGACAAGAAAGTAGGCGGTGTTTCAACCCCGCGAAAGCAGGTAAATTTGATGGTCCTGCACCCGATCTCTCTCCGGTTGTGTTGGTTTACCGTCCCATCAGACTGTGCTTGCCCAAACACTCGGATACTATAATCCTGTCCTGCACCAATGACCTGTCTCCACCTGGCCGCCTTGACCGAAATTCGCTTTGGAGGACATTTTTGTTACTTTCCATCAAGTGGACTCTGTGATCTTTTGACGCCTTTGCTTCTATAAAAAATATGACCACTTACTTTAGTCTGGGCTTCTTGTTCGTTTATAATTGTAGCATCGTACAAGATGCTTTCCGGTAGTAAATTTAAAATTTCTTGCTTAGCATTATGAATGCCAGTCCATTTTCAAATCGGGGCGTTTATTGAAAGTCCTGGGCCCAGCAGTAGACAGTAATTAGGCTGATAATCAGAATAGAATAGAATATAATCATTTTTACCCACTTTGAAAAGGAGGAGGTATTCCATTCGACTGTAGGTTTTTTATGTATGTTACCTCATAAGTTTTCTCTGGATGAACCGATTTCAATGATTTTTTTTTAATCTGAAAGCTGGTGATTGATCAAGATCTGTCTAGTAGTTTTTGAGTTATCTTTGATAATGCTTATTTAGTTGACTTCAACTACATTGATGATGTTCTCATTTTATTTATATTGAAGTCGGTTGTACAAAAGTTTTAATTTTACCACTTGTATTCAATATAGATTAGAAGAATATCTTCTTATTGAAACTCGTTTAAGCTTTAACACTAGTTCGGTAAACACCTCTGTTCTGGGAAGGACCAACAGAAACCCAGCGGAACTTTTGAAAAAAAAATACAATAATATTATATATTTTATACAATTGTTATGAAAACATTTAGAAACAGCATGGTAGCAATCATCTTACTCCCAGAAGTTATTATCAATCATGTAATCTTTAGTAGTATAATATCTATACATTGCCCCTTTGACTGCCTCGTTGGTCTAGCGGTTGTAGTAGTGCGACTGCTGATCATGAGGTCCAGGATTTGAGTCCCGGGTCGGGCCAAAAAACCGTCACATCGGATTATGAGAGTGTAGAGAGTAGAGAGAGTGTAGAGAGTGCACTCGTGCTTGCACATGCACTTGGGCACTACAATCCTGCTCTGCGCTGATGGCTAGTCTCCGTTGAGGCTGGCCGCCGTGCCGAAAATTCGATCTAGAGAACGTTATTATTATAATACATTGCCCCATGAAATGATTACTTGAAGAAGGAACGTTTTAATTGGTTAAAGTTAAGATTTGATTTTCAGGAGACCGATATAGCTGTCGCCGCTCTCACTATGACAGCTGAAAGGGAAGAAGTGATAGACTTTGTTGCACCCTACTTCGAACAGACTGGCATTTTAATAGGTACCTAAGTATTTTTTATAATTCTGTTTCTGTTCTGTGTAGATTATCTTTTGTAGCCTTTTCTAATGTAAACAACGGTACGAAAATCTATTCGCGCGGAAGGCAAAACCTCCACGATGGCTAAGCGAAAAGAGATTTAGCGTAGAGTCTATTATTATGAGAGTACCTCGTTCAGAGGCAAAATTCATTCCGTGCTGTCCACGGTGATATATTATCACTAGCGCAGTGGTATTAGTTTTGTAGGTGGCTGTAGTAAGTATACGTACTTGTAGGACGAAAGAAGGTGGATGAATGTGGACGACTTATTAACAGCTTTGACATGTTTATTGGAGCGGAGCTCCCATGGCGCAAGAAAACGATTCTTTGAAATCTATCTCCTCCGTAACCCGTAGGCCAATTTAGACAAGGTTTGTAAATATAAAAAATTTGAATATGGATTTTTTTTCTTTTACTATCTAATCAATTCGCTAATTTATAATAATAAATTAAAAAATTAGCGAATTGATTAGATGAGCTGATTAATTTGAATTGATTAGATGAGTTGATTAGTTTACATCTGCGCAATGTCACACAATTTGATTGAATCTTTTGTTGAAATAAAGATAGTTATGACTTTAGACTTTCACTCCGCTCCGTTTATGATGCTAGCAAAAGGTTTTACCTTTGCATCTACATCGGCTCTAGTTATTAACGTTCTTCAGTTTGGAGGAACTTGACATGTTTAGGTATAAAAGGTGATAATGTAAGCGCTCAGTATATTCTTTACAGAATTAGGGTATAAAATTAGTCAACTGTCACACAATCCACCTGATGATACGTGCATGCTGCGGCTTATAGACAACTACATCTACCCTCGATTAAGATTCAAAATGCAGATGCGGTGCTGTCATTCGGCCATACTGTGATGTCTGGTGGTAGAAATAGATCAAAGTAGTACCTGTCCAGATGATTTCCCAGGTAGCAAAAGAATCCAACCACCTACTAGTTCCCTTCATAAGTCTGGTTTAAGATACTCTAGCATTTTTTTTCAATTAGTCAAAACCATGCCTATTTCTGCCTACGCGTCGTCATTCAAAGAATTTCTAGCAAAACTAATGTAGAAAAATGGCGATATATCCATTAACTTTAGGCCAGGTGTAAAATACTCAGAATAGCGCCGGCAGCATAGTCAGAGCCGCGAGAATTCTAGCACTGCGATCGACTATCTGCCTGCTAAACGTGACGCTTTTTTATAGAATAAGGGTGACGGTACACGAGTACAAAGTCCACCTGGTGGTAAGTAAATGCTGTGGCCCATAGACGTCTACGTTTATCCCCAATTAAGAATCAAAATGCCGATGCGTTGTCACCCCTGAAGACGGAGATGTAATGTCGTTTCCAGTAAGAAGGGTCTCCGGTTCTCCACACTCAACGTACGAATCGCAGCAGCATTAAGCTGCCATTTTGCGCTGTTATTCTGTGATTGCGTGGTCTTTCCAATAATATATAAAAATAATGTAATAAAATCATATTAATTGGTTCCGATTCCTCTAGTGATACGGAAGCCCATCCGCAAGACCTCCCTGTTCAAGTTCGTGACCGTGCTCCGCACTGAGGTGTGGCTGAGTATAGTCGCTGCTCTGGTACTGACCGGGGTCATGATATGGCTGCTGGAGAAATATTCACCGTATTCCGCTCGGAACAACCCGGATGCTTATCCTTACCCATGCAGGTATGTGACTCAATGTGTGTTTGTGACGTAATGTATATTTTTGATAACATTACAAATTGCATTATTGCTAGGTTGTCGAACGGTAATAGAAAAATTTTTACCCCCGTTCGTCTACGCTTGGATACCGATTATAAAGCCGACTGACTATACATGTTGGCCGAGCCAAGGTGATTATCAACATATGGACAAAAATTTGTCTAGCCTCGCCATTGCCCTTCGTCGTTCGCCTAGCCGGCCCAGTGCAGGCGAGCGCCAACGTGTATACGGTTCGCTTGGTTTGGCGTGCCTTGCCACCTCTCGGGATCGCTCGCCACGACTCGTCTTACTTCGGAACAATGTCGGTTTTTCCGCACAAATCTAAGCCGCTCGCCTACACTCGGCAATTCATGTTCACATTCAGTCAGTTGGCCATGTCAGTATGTTTCTCATTCAAACTTGGCCAACATGTAGACTTTATCACTTGCCTTGTATCAGTGTATCTACACTCGCGTCGGTTGAAGCTTGGCCAACACGTAATGCCGGCTTTGGTAATAGTAGGTATTTTCAGTACAAGTATTGCCCTAATGGTAATTGTTTAAAGTCTGCATATGAGTCCATGTGCAGTTTATGTATTTTAACTCAATTATGTGGAAACTATTTTATTTATTTAATTATGTGTTGTTATAAATATAATAACTTTAATAATAATAAATCTTTCGGACTCTTATAAATCTGCCTAGAACTATTTCGTCACAATACAAAACACAGCAGCATAAAGCTGCTAGTTCACGCTGGTATTCTCTGAGAACGTGCTTCTAGTGAGTGTTGAGTGTGACTCTTGAAATGTTTAATCTTAGTTACCACCCCCGAGGACTAATATGTACTCGTAATGCCATTCGACACTTTCCATCAGGTGAATCGCATATTGTTTGCCCCACTTCAAAAAAAAACGACGGAACGCCTCGTTACTAGAACAAAGGATCCCCGGTTCTCTACACTCACCATACGAAAGACACCAGCATTGAGCTGTTATTTAACGCTGGTTTTCTGTGGCAGCATGGTTTTTTGCAGTCGAGTCGACCCATTCGTGCTGCACCATAATATTAATAGAAGCGTGGCTCTTGAAATTCTCTGTTTTTTTATTCTAAAAACCTAACCTGTATCGTGGTGGCAGTATTTATTTATTTATTTATTTTATTCTTTATTGCATCCTTAACAAAAGAATACAAAGGGCGGACTTAATGCCTTGAGGCATTCTCTACCAGTCAACCCATGGAGTGGTGAGAGTTTGACGTAGGTGTGGCAATATAGAATAAGATAAACAATCTGATAATTAACTACATAATATATACAAACTACTAATAAATAAACTATACATATATGATCTATCCTTACATATATACAAATATATAAATAAATGGATATACATACAAGTAAACATATTTAAATACATACATAGTTAGTATATACAAATGACTATGAATATATACGTCTGTTTGGCAATACATATTAAATAGATAAGTCATGTAGAATGCGTTGTCTTTAATAAATGATCACGGACCAACTTTTTAAAAGCGTACTTATTGGGAGCTTTTCTGATGTCATCGGGCAAGGAGTTCCAAAGGCGTGTAGCCTGAACTGTGAAGGAGTTACCATAGAACTCGGTGAAGTGAACTGGAGTACAGATTTTGTTGTTAGAAGAAGAGCGTAGGACCCTATCATGAGATGAGGAAGGATAATGAAATTTAGTACACATACATATATTCCACAAGGACAAACGTCCAGACCGGAACAATTATTTGCAAGCCATGCAAATACCTGTTCCGTGCGGGATTCGAACCTGCGGCCCTCAGCGCTACAGCTCATTGCTAAGCCACTGTGCCGCGTAGCTACCAAATTTAGCCGTGTTAGTTACTAGCCAAGTATAACAATTATAACAGATAAAATCAACGTGTTATATCCAGAGAATTCACTCTGAAGGAGAGCTTCTGGTTCGCCCTGACTTCGTTCACTCCGCAAGGCGGAGGGGAGGCACCCAAGGCTCTGTCGGGTAGGACGCTGGTGGCCGCCTACTGGCTGTTTGTGGTGCTCATGCTGGCCACCTTCACAGCCAACCTGGCCGCGTTCCTCACAGTAGAACGGATGCAGGTAGGTTCTCGTGTAAAAGAAACATTGATTTCTTTTAATAATAATTCTATTTAGAAAGCTTCGCAAATTTATTTATTTATGTATCTAAACTTCATAAACAACAAAGGAGACAATTTCTTTTTGTATGAAGAATGGGCCCATCACAAATTTTAGCGACACTTAAAGAAATACACGTCAATTTATTTCATATATATCTGTTCATTAATTAATAGTATAGTACAGGGATCACCAATTAGCTTAATTGCTGGTCCGTTTAAATAAAATATATGTACAATCAGTCGCGGTCCATTTTCTAGATGATGACTAGCAACCGATGTTTAAATTGTCAGTTTACAAATAAAACTAAAAGAAATCAAACTTTTATCGATAAGGATCTTCTTCTTCTTGAACGAAACATAACAACATCTTCATAACTGAAGGTCGTGTCCGTAGTTTAAAACCTACGTAGCGCTGTTCACTTTTTTTTATAGGATAGGGTGACAAACGAGCACACAGTCCACCTGATGGTAAGTGGTTGCTGTGGCCCATAGATATCTACATCTGTCTTCGATTACGAATCAAAATGCAGAACAGATGTGTTGTCACCCGTGAGGACTAAGATGGAATGCCTCGTTTCCGGTAAAAAGGGTCTCCGGTTCTCTACACTCACCATACGAAACACAGCAGCATTAAGCTACTATTTGACACTGGTATTCTGTGAGAGCGTGGTCCTTCCCCGGTCGAGCCGATCCATTCGAGCTGCAACTAAACTACTAATATAACTGCAGCATGGCTCTACCACGTATAAAAACACTACATCCCGTCCCTCCATTTTCGCATTGCAGTCGGGAATGAAAGGCCAGTAAGTTATTTGACCTGGTTCGCCCAGCGGCTAGATGATCGGCCGCGTGGTCTTTTACCCCCACCCTTTCTACGACTATAAGACTATCCAAGTTATTAGGCGGGTGTCGGGCAATGTGACCAAAGTAACTCAGAATACTCTGGTATTAATTAACACGTAGTAGAGAGTCTGGTGTCAACACGAAGCTGCCCCAGGATGGACTTGTTGGTCATATTCGCGGTACATGGTACGCGGACATCCTAGTTAAACACCACATTTCGAACGCATCGATCCTCCCTTTTAATAAAGATACATCTTATTAAAAAAATAACAAAGTAAGTACCCAATATTAAGGCGAAATATGGCATTTTTCGATCTCAACAATCTGTAAAAAGTATCTATGGATTTAAGTTGGTGCACACTAAACCTTGTCATTAAACCTTGGAGATGGTCATCGTCAAAACGAGATCTAATTTTATTTTTAAATAAGTTCATCTTGGAAAATGTTGCTTCACAAAGATATATGTTGATACAGATATTATACAAAGTTTCAAAGCCATTTTTTTATTCTGGGTATTTATTAACACTTGTTATGTTATCCAAAATTCTTGGCAAAGAACTTCAGAATTTTTGTGTTTTAAAACAGAAGGAAATTGAATTACCACAAATTTTTACATTGATATTCTTAGATCTTTCTGGGTCCGCTCGAACTTGGTCGGCAGTCCGGATCCTTTCCATTTTGTGTCTATTAAAGTACTATTGTACACTATTTAAATTCCAAGGTGACTGCGTACCTCTTTAAAAATAAGATTTAAAAAAATACAGTAGTATATGTAGGTAGAAGAATCTAGCATATAGTTAACCTGGTACCCTGGCGCTGGTGGCGAAAAAAAGTTGTGGGAGCTCTCATTGCTATGCACTATCTAATACCTAAATACAGAGGTCTTGCGGCTCAGATACACTAATTCAATCCACACGCACTCTTTTTTTACTCGGGTATCTCGGGTTTAGATTATGGTTGAGGAAGTCTTTCTTACGAAAAAATTCGTTAGCCGCAACACCTTACTTTACATTTCTGTCCACATATAATTTTAATAGAATAGGGTATGTTTTGTCACATACAAGCACAAAGTATACGTGATAGTAAGTAGGTGCTGTGGCCCATAGACATCTACGTTTATCGTCTATTAAGAATAAAAATGCAGATGCGTTATCTCATTGAGGAATGAGATGAAATGCCTCGTTTCCAGTAAGAAAGGATCTCCGGTTTTCTACACTCACCATACGTAATACAGCAGTATAAAGATGCTATTTTACGCTAGTATTCTGTGAGAGCGTGGTCTTTCCCCGGTGGAGCCGACCCGTTCGTGCTACACGCATAATATAATTGCAGCGTCGCTCTGCCACTTAAAATAGTTGTAATAAAATGTATAGGTACAGTGTAACATAGGCATAATTGGGTTCCCATTCATTTTATACAGACCCCAGTCTCATCCCTGGAGCAGTTGGCGCGCCAGTCCCGCATCAACTACACCGTGGTGGAAGGCTCCACCACTCACCAGTACTTCATCAATATGAAATTCGCTGAGGATACCCTCTACAGGTAAATAGATCATATGCTTGAAATTAAGTCTTAGATCCTTATTTATTTTCTAGGCTTAATCCTATTCACTTGTGTGTCACTTTTTCGTTTCATCGAGTTTCAAATAACAACGATTCTAAAGAAGTTTTCACTTCACAGAAGACATCTATGATCGCCAATAGGAAACACTGTATACTGCATTCTATCTCATTCTCTCGGAGGCTTAATCCTATTCACTTGTGTGTCACTTTTTCGTTTCATCGAGTTTCAAATAACAACGATTCTAAAGAAGTTTTCACTTCACAGAAGACATCTATGATCGCCAATAGGAAACACTGTATACTGCATTCTATCTCATTCTCTCGGAGGCTTAATCCTATTCACTTGTGTGTCACTTTTTCGTTTCATCGAGTTTCAAATAACAACGCTTCTAAAGAAGTTTTCACTTCACAGAAGACATGTATGATCGCCAATAGGAAACACTTGTATACTGCATTCTATCTCATTCTCTCGGAGGCTTAATCCTATTCACTTGTGTGTCACTTTTTCGTTTCATCGAGTTTCAAATAACAACGATTATATAGAAGTTTTCACTTCAAACATAGTACTAATGTGTAATTAACCGCTTAACCGTGTAACGTCCGCAGGGTTTGGAAAGAAATTACCCTGAACGCGACCTCGGATCAGGCGCAGTATAGGGTATGGGACTACCCAATTCGGGAGCAATACGGTCACATACTACTTGCCATTAATGCATCCGGTAAGAATAACTCTTTCCTTCATCATGGATAAGGACAATCAAGTATTTTAACTACTATTACTAGCTGTTCCTGTGAATTTATTACATGGGTTGCGCGGAACCTTTATTCTGTTTTACCGATTTCAAAAAGGAATAGGTATTCAATTCGACTGTTTGTTCTTTTTATGTGTGTTCACCTCACAAATTTTCACTGGGTGAACCGTATATGATGATTTTTTTATCTGAAGGCTGGTGCTTCTCGTGTGGTCCTAAATAAATCAAGATCTGACTAGTAGTTTTTGAGTTCTCTTTAATAATGCGTATTCAATTGTTTTCGAATACGTTTTTTTTTTAATTTTACCACTTGTGTAAAGTAAAAAGACTGAAACGGACAGACAGATGGACCGACACATAGATAAAAAAAATAATTTGTTTTATTGTTATAAGTACTGTATACACATTCGCATCTATTTAGTAAAAAGCTATTATTTTGACATTACAAGCAGACACTTCGATTTTTTTTAGTTGTACAGATTTCTACTACTATATTTACGCGAAGACTACTCATTAAATGAAACCTAATTATACGGATTTTATCGCGTTTAATTTTAACAGTTTTATTCCTGACATTTCGGGTGCTTTACAGCACCCATGGTAAATATTATTATTATTATCAAGAAATAATAATAATTATTATTATTATTAGTGTATTGAGAATACACTGATTGGGCCCAATAAATATATAAAAGAAAATGATAAATATACATAAATATATATTTCATATACCAGCACAAATAAATAAACAATACATAAATAAATAAAAGCCCAACCAGATAGAAGCCCTCGGCAGGGGAGACCAAACGGCCAAGGGTTAGGGTGAAAGGGAAAGAAACCGGCGGACGATGCGGGCAGTATCAAGGAGCACCGCCTTCTGCATTTGAGCCCGGAGCGGTCCGTCACGGAGTCCCAGTCGCCTCAGATGACCAGAGAGGCTAACTGGGATTAGCCCATTCGCAGAGACGACTACAGGAATAATTTCGGTCGGCAGACCACCCCACATGTCGGTCACCTCGTGATCCAGGTCCAGATATTTTTTTGCTTATCTGTTTCGGCTCTCACGAGGTTCTCGTCATACGGGATGGTAATATCGACCAAAAATATCCTTGACTGTGCCCGGTCCATCAGCACAATATCAGGCTTATTCGCAAGAATAGTCCTGTCTGTGATGATGGTCCGGTCCCAGTAGAGCCTGGCGCGGTCATTTTCGAGCACGGCTACCGGCAAGTACTTGTAATACGGCAATTTCCGGTCCACGAGACCGTATTTCAGAGCGAGCTCCTGGTGTAGAATTCTGGCTACTAGGTTGTGCCTGTGCAAGTACTCAGAGTTAGAAAGCGCCGAACAACCGGAGATGACATGCCTGAGTGACTCCCCGGGATGGCGACAAGCTCGACAGATGTCGACGGTGCCATCCTTTAGGATGTATCTCCGATAGTTGTTGGTCTTAATAACCTGAACCTGTATTGCACAGACAAAACCCTCGGTTTCCCCGAAGAGGTCACCGAAAGCCGTAGCCAGTTGAGGGAGGCGACTGTATCAACGAAGGGCTCATGTAGAGCCTTGTAGTACCTCCCGTGGAGCTCTTTCTCCTTCCATACGGTCTCCCGGTCGGAAATGCTAAGCACTTCTGGGTACTGCCATTGCTCGTTGGATAAGGATAGAGGGGTAAGTCCTTTATCACAAGAAATGACGTCATTATAAAACGGATCATCCGATCTCGCCAGGAAGTAATCACGGAGGCTGCACACTTCGCGATTATGCATGGTGAGCGCGCTCAAGAAGCCACGACCACCATGCTTCCGCGGCAAGTACAGCCTCATTACCGACGATCTCGGATGATGCATCCTATGGGACGTCATGGTAGTGCGGACTTTTCTATCCAGGGCGTTAAGCTCAGTCTGAGTCCACCTGAGTATGCCAAATGTATACATGAGGACAGGCATGACCCAGCAGTTATATGCGTGTGACTTATTCACACGGGACAAAAGGCTGTTAAGCACTTTGGTCAAGCGTGCATAAAACACGTCGCAAACTGACTGTTTCATACCAGCCTCATCGATACCGATGTTCTGTGACATACCCAGGTATCGGTATGTTTCAGCCTCGGAAAGGGTCCTTAAGTTGACTCAGAGTTAGCAACCCTTCCCCTTTCAACATGGAGGACCGCACACTTATCCGTCCCCAGCTCCATTCTAATGGAACTGCTGAATTCACAAGTGATGTTTAGCAGTTCCATAAGATGGGAGCTACTGGAGGCGAATAACTTGAGCTCATCCATATAGAAAAGGTGGGTCACTTTTGTCCCTCCTTTCCGTAGCTGAAATCCCCTCCCGGAGCTCTCCAGTAAGGTACTGAGAGGGTTAAGAGAGAGGCAGAACCAGATTGGACTCAGACAATCGCCCTGGAAGATACCCCTTCTTATCCTTATGTGGTTCTCCGCAGCCATCATCCGCTCGCCCAGATGACAAAGGATCGTACTCCACTGCCCCATATACTGCTCGAGGAAGTCTCTAACTGTACAGTCAATCTTGTACAGCTCGAGGACCCTCTTTAGCCATGTATTGGGAAAAGAGTCGAATGCATTTCTGTAGTCTATCCAGGCGGCGGAGAAGTTCCGATGGTTGCGTTTCACCACTTTGCCTATGACCGCGTCAATGAGGAGTGGTTCCTTAGTTCCACGACCACCGCCCCGACATCCATTTTGAGCGAGTGACATCACCTGGTTTAGCTCCAGGTGACGAGTGATTTTGGCGCTCAAATTGGATGTCAGTGTCTTATATATGGTGGGTAGACACGTGATGGGGCGGTATTTGCTCGGGTCTGTGGTATCCTGATCTTTAGGAACCAAGTGAGTGATCCCAGTAGTGAAGAGGCTCGGGAGTGACTTCTGGTCGAGAGCCTCTTGAAACTGTCGGGCGAGCACAGCGTGACACACTAAGAAACCCTTCAGCCAGTAATGATGCAGCCCGTCGAGCCCCGGACTTTTCCAGTTCGGGGCCCTACGGACCGCCTCAGCCACGTCTTCTGGCGTTATGGTGATGGGGTCCATAGGCGTAACACTCGCACCCTGGCTCGCCACAACTTCCATCCAAGGGCCCTCGCTGTGGTTTACGGGCTCTGACCACAGGCCACGCCAGAATGCGATAATGTCAGCCTGATCCGGTCCTTGGCCCGCTCCACATACCTTTGGTTGCTCCAATGATTTATAGAGCCTCTTCTGATCACTCTGGAAGAGACGATTCTGGTTGAACCGCCTTGACCTCTCGGAAAATCGTCGAATCAGCTTCCCCCAAGCAGCGATCTTTTGCTTCAGGTCGTCTATGCGCTCCGTTAGTTTCTGCGTGATATCCGGACAAACTGATATTTGTCCCAGCAAACGCCATCCTAACGGTGCGTATAATCCTTGGTCTATTATTACCCGACCTGAAGCTTGTCAGTCTGCCGATAAGGGTCCTTGCCTTTGCGATACAGTCCTCGATTCTTTTTCTCCAGGCTGGGATGGCGCTACTTTGTGTAGCAGCGTGTCCAGCCATGGGAAGTTTGGCGCCAATAATACGGCAAACTGCCACTGCGGCGCCAAAGAGAATCGAGTCCGTCTCGCAAAGGTCCCGGCTGGCTTCCAAATAGGTCACCAGCATTGGGTTAAGAGCCCTCACGACAGCCCGATTTCGTTTGCTTAGGGGTGTGCGGGGAAGTCGCGGTCGATTTTCGAGAGGGGTGCTGGTTTCCAAAATCGCCTCTTCCAATATACTCCTCATTTGCTCTAGTTCGTGGGAGACTATTTCATCGTCGTTCGAATCAACCACAACTGGAAGATCCATGGTGGCTTCCACGTGTGGATGCTGGTCTGTCGAATGTGGAGCTGCATCTCCAGCCATAGCCGATTCATTCGACGACGGAATAGCCTACGTCGTAGTCGTTTGAGTTCGGCATCATCAAATATTTTCGAGCGCATGATGTACCTAACTCGGTCTGCCAGGTTTTGTTCCGTGACGGGGATAGACGGCTCCAGCTCAGCAAAAAAGCAATGCATCCGAGACCTATACGCTATTCCCACAGTTTCTTCCCCTTTCGCCCTATAGTACGCCCGCAATGCGTTTTCGTTCATGGATTTTGTCCAACGCATGCGACGTGCTCCACCAGCGGCGGGTGCCGCTTGCTGGGTCCGAGAAGACCCAGCCGACACCAAGCCGTCTGGTGGGGATGATGAATGCGAAGGGTTGCTAGGTGGTCTTGCAGCCTCTCGCGCTCGGCTGGTGGCCCGCATGTTGTCGCGTCCAGCGCCAGCTTCAGACGCGCCCCGGCGACCCCCAGGCAGCGGCCCTATGCGCGTTCCTTTCTGTGTTTCTTCCATCATCAATTTTATGGGCGCCAAATAACGGGAGACGCCCAAGCCCGGCACCGTTTCGTGGTTGGGTCATATACACAAACGGACCTTTGCATCTACAATTTTGCCTAGGCACGGCGCTCACACCTCTTGGCAGGATGCTGACTGACTGCGCCGAGGTCGCAGTTTTTGTCTGCTTATCTGTTTCGCTTCAGGCGAGGGGTCGTCTCTTCCTACGGCGGTTATTATTATTATTATTATGGTCACGGGGGACTGAGGTGTTTAACTTGCCGATGTCATAGTTAACCCGGCTACCTTCAGCTTTTGAATATTGGTCCGATCAACGCATAAAATTAAACTTGGTAAAATCCCTAAAATTAGTTTCTTTCTAAGTGTTTTGTGCGCACAATTTCCGTCTCTTCAGGGCCGGTACCAGATGCGAAGACCGGTTTCCAGGAAGTCAATGATCATACCGATGCTGACTTTGCTTTTATACACGACTCCGCTGAGATCAGGTGAGTTGTTTTTTATTATGTAATAATAATAATATATTTTGCCTAACAATTAGCCTGTTACACTCACCTTTTTTTTTAATTTATTATTTACTGCATTCCTTAAAAAGAATACAAGGAGCGAATTTGATGCCCTGTGATATTCTCTATTGGTCAACCCATGGAGTAGACATGTGTAAATCGTGAATGATTCGTTCATTTCAACCGGTTCGCGTAAACGTATTGGTGGTTGCAATTGCAGTTTTCAAACTTTCCGAATTAAAATGATCGACAGGACCTACAACCAAAGAGTATAGTCATGTCCGACGATCTACATTATCAAGCGGGCCTCAGAGATCATAAAGTACTAAAACTCAAAATAATCCAAATTCATGAATGATCGACCCTAATGAACCGGTAAGTAAGACGAATCAACACTTGAATGATCGGATCAGGATCACTGGAAATGAATGACAAATGTCAACCCATGGAGAGGATAAAATTTGACGTAGGTGTAGCAATATATTTTTTCATATTTCCTTTACCGTTACAGCCTATTTAGAAGTCATTACACTGGTCGATTTTTTTTTCCGTCTGGAATAAATAAGGTAAAAGGTGAACATGATAGAACTTACGGCACTGATATTTTACATTTTTGTTCATTAGCATATGAAATTGATCTATCAATAAAAACTACTAATTTGAAATAAACTTTCGGTACTAAAAATGGCAACAACATTTTTAAACTAAATAAATAAATCAATCAAAAGCTATCGAAGTTTAAATAATATGTAAATATAATTAGTTACGTTATAATAGTATAATTAGTAGTATTTATTGATAGATCAATTTCATATGTTAATGGCTTTTATTCCGTTCACCTGTTACACCCTGTTGGTAAAGATGGTAAAAACATCACCAAGTATGTACAGCTGTAGCTTCCGATACATAGCATAACCATGTTACGCCGGCGATAACCAAATGGACGACGGGAATCAGCATCGAAAGTGCTCACGTAGTCTGGTACTGCTATCCTCAATTTTTTACGCGGCGGAGCCATGCTGCTTTGTTATGCTTTATTATGGTTGTAGCACGAATGACACGTAAGACCACGCTCTCACAGAATACTAGCGTGAAATTTATTTATTTATTACAAAAACAGTAACAGCACCATAACAGTATAAGACCAAGACAATGATGTACAAAAAACAAACAAAAACTGATAATTATAACTATTGACATAAAAGTATATACTATTATATAAAAATAAAAATATATAATTAAGAAAAATAAATATTGAAAAATAATCTCACAGACCCTCTGCGCCGCTTCTGTAAACTACGCCAGGCTGCAGTGGTAAATGTCTCTTTCTTCAGAAATAATATTCAATAATTTTAAAGCACGTGACATAGGCGCAAATCTGAGCAGATTTGTCCTCGCATACGGCACCTTAAACGTGGGATGTGGGCGACGCATAGCCACCGCCTTATCAGGCACAGACAGCTGCAACGCCTCCAGTAACAGGCCAATGCTGCTGTGTTTCGTATGGTGAATGTAGAAAACCGGAGACCCTTTTTACTGGAAACGAGGCATTCCATCTTAATCCTCACGGGTGGCAACTCATTTGCATTTTGATTCTTAAACGAGGGTAGATGAAGTTGTCCATGGGCAACAGCGCTCACTTACCATCAGGTGTACTGCGTGCTCATATGTCACCCTTATCAAGGTGTCCGGTTACTTTTGTAGACACTTATCAACAGCTATTCAGGTAGCTCGTTGGTATCTAATATCCAAAAAATAAAGTAAACACCATATCAAGCCTTCGAATCAGATACGAGGTGACGCGGAATTGCAACCTGACAGAGGTCGGTGACGTATTCGCGGAGCAACCTTATGCCATTGCCGTTCAGCAGGGCTCACGGCTACAGGAGGACCTTTCCAGGGCATTGCTGGAGTTGCAGAAGGAACGTTTCCTAGAGCAGCTGGTTGCGAAGTGAGTTCTGTTTTGAAACTTCAATTAAAGCCGATTCACATATTTATAGTATAGTAGAGTTTCTCTGCACCGTAGAGATATTTTACATGCATATCAGGGTAATTTTTATACGTGGTAGAGCCACTCTGCTGCTATATTATGGTTGTAGCACAAATGGGTCGGCTCGACACATCTGCGTTTTGATTCTTAATCCCTAATTGAAGATAAATGTAGATGTCTACGGGCCACAGCATCTGCTTACCATCAGGTGGACTGTGTTCTCGTTTGTCACCCTAATTCTATAAAAAAATGTAGATCTGAATGATCTGGATTTGAAAGAACCACGTGTTCTGTGAAGGAATCGAACCAGAGACTTACATATCCGCAACGACACGCTTAGTTACTGTGCTTCTGTGACTTCTTTATAACAGAAGTTGGTATTCAGTTTATGAGTCAGTCAGCAAGAACTCAATACTTATCCGTATAATGAACAAGTCGCTTCACTGGTCAGTACAGACCAGATCTTCTTGATGCCGGTGTGTTTTTTCACACACGCTGTCTCATTATTGATATTCTGTGAATAGTTTTAAATCAGCCGCTTGCCAAGCGTGGCGACTGTAGTCTACGTTCAGAAGTAGGTAATATAGTAGGTTCAGTATAAGGTGCATTGGATGAATGAATGCTTTCCATTCACATAATCGTTCGCGCCCGTAGAATTGTTCTTGTTTGAAACAGGAGTTTTGTGAACGTGGTAGCTGGGTGAGTATCTCACAACATGATTCATAGTGTTTAGCGCCGATGTTGAGATGTTCTACTAGGCGCTCAGCTTCTAATCTCAACTATGTCTTCAGATGTTGCATCTTTTGTGCCTTGTTGATCGTAGGATTGTTGTGAATTGCCTCCAAAAAAAGATCTTTGAAAGAAATCCATTGCCTGTAGCTGTTCGAGAATTCAGGTACTTATTCTATTTACACGCAATGGTCGGTGCAGATTTTTCATAGTAATAAACGTATTGAAGATTTGAGCCTTTGAGTTTTGCTTCCAACTCCCAGTGTTGTTTATCGATAACTAAGTTTTCAGAGTTTTTTTTTAATAATGTTTAAAGAGATATTAACACAATTAACTATTTTCTTTGATCCAGATACTTTTCTTCTAACTTTAGGAATATTTGCAGTGTTGCTGCCAGGTCAACCTCTCAGTCCCCAAGCGGTCGAATCCTACCGCGGCGCTTTTCCGTCGAAATTCAAGCGTATTGGACCGTGCACACCCACAGCACTTTAAACCATTAAATACTTATATTTAGAGACTACTTTTCTTAGTACTTATTAGTTTTATTAGTGTTTTAGTATAGAATTTTGTTATAAAGTTGTAATGAAAGTTTTTGTGTGAATATGATTTATCTTTCTACGTAAATAATTTCGAGTAATAAATATTGAAATTATTGTGATTTTAACGCTTCCGATATTCGCTTGGTATGTTTTGTTTTTGTTATCAAAATACAATAGTGTTTTTGTAATGAAGTAACTGACTTTTATATAGAGAATTTTGTATAGATTTTATAATGCCAAACTTCTTCATAGAAAAGTAGTTTCTAAATATAAGTTTTAATGGTTTTAAATGCTGCGGGTAGGTGCGGTCGCATGCGACCGCTCGGGAATTGCCGGGCGCATGCGAATGCGTGGGCTTTTTGTTGGGATTGAGGGGTTAAACTCTGCCACTGTTTTCTAGATACTGGAATGAGACTGCCCGACAAGCGTGCCCTGATGCAGATGAGTCTGAAGGCATCACACTAGAAAGTTTGGGTAAGTGGATTAAACTTAAATGGCACCTAACGCCTAGCCTTTTCTTAAGAAATAAAGTGGTAAACGAGCACACAGTCCACCTGTTGGTAAGTAGATGCTATAACGCATACACATCTAGATCTATTCTCAATTAAGTATCAAAGCGCAGATGCCTTGTCACTCCTGAGGACGAAGATGGCCTCATTTCCGGTAAAAAGAGTCTCCGGTCAACACACGAAACACAGCAGCATAAATCTCCAACACCCGGCGTTACAGAAATGGCACCTCTTTGAAAAAAAGTTACTTGAATATCTGGCTCTCAGTGTTTACATTTTATCAAGTCAATATTGGTATCAACTGAAAGTGCGTTTATTATCCCCACACGCGCTAAAACTATAATATAGCTGCAGCATGGCCTTACTACATGCCCTATTAGTATGCCCTTATTTTTTTGTAAGGGTGTTAATTAAAAAAAAATCGGTATCTGGCTGTGTCGGGGTCACGGCCGTGTGGTTTACGTGAGTTCGTATACGTACATGTACGTGGCGAAGTTTAGGGCGCCTCCTCTACTAGGTGGAGTGACGACCTGGTAAGACATGTAGGAAATTGGCTGCAGATGGGACAGGGCCGTGCTTTGTGGCGTTCCTTGGAGGAGGCCTATGTTCAGCAATGGAATTGTGAAGGTCTGTAAAGAATGAAAAAAGTGTACGTAACGAAACGACCTCCAAATGGCTGTGCTCTCCACCCCCCATTCCGCCGCGCGCGATGCGTCACAGTCCTCACACAGTGTGATGAATTTTTAAATCCTTTATAGCTATCGAATGGTTTAATTAAATTTTGGATATAGACGATAGATGTAATTACAACACCAAACTGTATCCCCCAATTTTGTGATCATCAGTTTTCTGATTGTATCCCACTATGGAAGTAAATTTAAAGACATAATATATTGCATTCGTCAATATAATCTATTCGAAAAATATCGTCGTGCAGTGGTAGCGTAAATGATTCCAATACTATATCATTCCCTGTTAGAGGCGACAGAGAGAAATAAAGCAGACGGTTGCACGCAAACTTGTCTCATCATCATCATTCATCATTACAGCCCTTCACAAGTCCACTGCTGAACATAGGCCTCCCCCAAAGAATGCAAAGCACGGTCCTGAGCCACCTGCATCCATCGACTTCTTGCATGTCTTACCAGGTCGTCACTCCGTCTAGAGATGGGTCGCCCTACACTTAGCCTACCGGTACGAGGCTGCCACTCGAGAACCTTTTTTCCCCGAAATGTTGTCGGTTGTCGGTTGTCAGAGTGACCGACATAGCCCAACGGATTAGTAAGTTGAAGTGGCAATGCTACGGGTGGTGGCAGATTAGTCGATAGGACGATAATCCAACACGACTGGAGAGTGATCAGACCAATGGCTTTACGTGTTTTCCGAGGCACGTGGGTGAAACACCAACAACTTCCTGACTCCGGGCTGCTACTGAGAATTTCCTGACCGGAAAACCGAATAATCGATTTTTGAAACCCGGTATTCAGTGCACCCGGTAGATATTGGAACCCGGACTCTCATGATCAGCAGTCATGCTTACCAAAATTAGGCCAACGAGACAGTCAGATCCCTATAAGGTGCAAATGAGTCCCCCTATGAGTCAGTCTAAGGAAAGTTTAGTAGTAAATTTTTGATAGAGATATAATAATAATAATAATGTACTCCAGACCGAATTTAGGTCACGGCAGCCTGTCTCAACGGAGACTAGCCATCGCCGCAGGACAGCATTACAGTGCCCAAGCGTATGCGCAAGCATAGATGCACTCTGTATTGCCTCACTCTCGTAGTCCGATGGGATGGTAAACCGACACAACCAGAAAGAGATCAGGCTTTACGTGCTTTCCGGAGCACGGGGGTGAGACACCGCCAACTTTCTGACACCAGGCAGCTATTGAGAATTTCTTGACGGAAAAACTCAATAATTGATTTTTTGTCTCGACCCGGGATTCAAACCAAGGACCTTATGATCAGCAGTGGCATTACTATAACCACTAGACCAACGAGGCAGTCAGATAGATATATAGTAGTAATAAATGGATGAATAAACTTAATAATTAAGGTGCCTACTCACTAATTTCAGGTGGAGTCTTTATCGCTACTCTATTCGGTCTCGGTTTAGCGATGGTCACGTTGGCGTGGGAAGTATTTTACTATAAGCGCAAAGAAAAAAATAAAATAAGGGCCATAGACGCGACCATAGAGAAAACCGATCCGTTCGCGCCAAAAATCCGAAAGAAAATGAAAGACGGTGTTGCCAGATTGCGGAAGCGGGATAAAGGAAGCATCGGGAGAAATATTACTATTGGTGACAAATTCAAGCCTGTAGCGGAAAGAGGTGGCGTTTCGTATATCAGTGTTTATCCTAAGGGAGAATACAGACCTTAATTTCGGAGTACGAAAATAAAGGGCTTACTACAGTAGTCGACATAGACATAAGTTTTATTAGCATCAATACACTCACAAAATATACGTTTAGAAGAAAATAAAAACATAAAACATAATTTGCTTATTATCAACTAATGAAATGATAGTGTGATGTTTTTATTGTAACTTAGTTTTAGTTTAGCAAAATTGTTTTCTGCACTATACATAGATTTGTTGGAATTATATAGATTGAGATAATAAACGAACTGTTGTACAATTCAATGATTGTGTGATTTTAAGCCCATTATAATTAGAAACGATCAAAGACTTGCTACTTGACGGGCACTGCCCCCTGTATGTGGTAGAGCTACGCTGCAGCTATATTTTGATCGTAGCACGAATGGGTCGGCACGACCGGGGGAAAGACCCGCGAGATAAAAGATATCTGCGTATTCCTCGTTGGAAAATGATTGCCATGCATGATCTCCGCGTCTTGGTGGTTCCGCCGCCATAAAACTTTGAAACTCAACTTCTTTAAGTGTAACAGGGAGGTATATGCGCGCGTGTGTACGATGCCTGTAATACTGATGACTGATTGAACAGTTTCTTCTTGTTTAACTTGTTTCTAAACGACAGAGTTCAAACGCACAATCTTTTACGAGCATTCCCACAGCTGTTGATAAGGTTCCAAGAAGCGGTTGTTTGGGATTACCCAAAACATTGCTACTCGGAACTTGTCTACCTGGCCCCTTTTTTTAAGTTTTTTCTGTACTATTTAAGTTACAAGCTAAATTGATACTTCGTTGGGTAGCTAGATAAGTAGGGATGTTGTTTTTAACATGATTTGCACAATTGGTCACATACAATTATTTTTCACAAAATCATTTTTATTTTTAATTACTTATCTTCTGTTTGGAAAAAGTTGTACTTTTAGTAGCGTTACTTCGAAAATGATGAGACTTTTTGCACACTGTAGTATTGATAATTAAGTATCCAGGTTTTCATTAAATAAAAATAATAAAATGAAAATAATACAGCTGTAAGTTTTTTTTAGAAATTTTTGACACCAGACTTTTGGGATTTTTGAAAAAAATAATTAAACCTAAATATCTCGAAATTGGTCCACATTTGCATAATGCATTTTATGGTTCATTTGATAGGTTATGACCCCAACTATCACGCCTTGGCGGGAATACGTCGAGTTACCAGTAACTCTGTATATATATATATATATATATATATATATATATATATATATATATATATATATATATATATTTTCTTATATATATATATACAGAATGTCCCAGTAATGGTGGATAATCTGGTATATGCGTTTTCGGGCGGGAGTAGATAGCCTCGGTTTCATAAAAAAATTCTATCCCGAACGGTTCGCGATCTATAAAAAAAGCTAAAAAATACATACAATGTTAAAAAAAATATCTGTAACCAATTTTTGTAATGAAATGCCTACTTTTACACATTATCGGCTATAGCTCCGTAATTCATTACTTACTATAATACTATAATATTAAATACATGATGAAGGCAACATTTTACACATTATACACATCCCATACGTTTTATTTTTCACCACAGGTGCTCAAATTTAGCAGTTAAAAAAAAGTAAAAAATTAAAACTTATATTCAGTACAGTCTTGTAAAATACGACTCATAGAAGTTGAAAACTTTTAATTTAGAAACATCATTATTAGGGAACACATTAAAAGAAAACAATCCGATTAGGGCATTATAATGCGGACGTGATATCCACAAACGTGGGCAGAAGTACGAATTTTCGGAATTTTACAAAACATGGCGTAGAGCGCGAACCGTTCGGGATAGTATTTTTTACTAGGGAACCAAAGCCACTCCCCCCCCGTACTCGTACCGAATTATCCACCATTACTGTTACCATTACTGTTCACGTTATCTATATCTATACATATAATAAAACAGTAACGAAAGAAAAACTGTACATTGTGTATTTTCGAGAAAAAATAAGTGGCTTTTGTTAGAAAAACGTAAGTGATGACAAAAAGTGACTTTTTAGAATTTTTGTCTGTTTGTCTGTGTGTATGGTACGGCTTCATGCCAAAACTACTGGATAGATTGAATTGAAATTCAGCAAAAATGTTCTTTGTAAACCAAGGAAGGCTTTAGGCTACATATTATCACGCCGTATGTTATAGGAGGTAAGCAGTATTGATTTTAAAAGGTTTTTCTTCGTAACTGAATGCACAAAATGACATGTACTAGTTAAAATAAAAATAAAAATTTAACCCTGGGAACATAATAATCACGCTATTTTTATAAAAGAGCGGGGCAGTAATAATATTATAAATAATGATTTCTTAAATTTACGCGAACACTACACATTGAATAAAACTAAATTTACGGATTTTATCGCGTTTATTTCACTACTTTTACTTTAATTCCCGACGTTTCGGGTGCTTTACAGCAACCATGGTTACGGGGGGGACTGAGATGTTTGACGTCCCAATGTCATAGTTAGTCCGGCTACCTTCAGTTTTTGAATATTAATTTTTGGTCCGATTTACGCAAAACGAGCTTATAGTATCATGAAGTCTTGCAGTGGTATGCTTAGGTTTGGGTTTAATTTTGTTAATTATAGGTATAGTTATATATAGTTATTATCCCAAGCAGGTGGCAGCACCCATCCATCTTCTCTATTGAAATTTGGATGTTTTTTTTAATTTCAATAGCCTCGCGTATCATCCTTGGTAGGAATCGGTGTTCTTTTGCGAGAATTTGTGGTTTATCAAAACGAATGTAATGGTGGGGACGATCTTGAACATGATCGCAGACTGCAAACTTCCAGAATATCGTTAGTATCGGATTAAGATGGAATTTTAGCTATGCCTTTTAGAAAAAGATCAAATCTGTCTCGAAACTCAAGGGTTTCTAAGATGCGCATGTTAGTTAAGAGTAGCAGTAGTTTCTCTCGAACCCACGCAGAGCGTGAACAACGGCTAGGTGCTAACCGTGAGCGTAATGCACTAAGTTTGTCCGCAGAAACTAGCACGCAGCGCCAATTACGACTAGAATTTAAACATTAATATTAATAAATACAAAAATGAAAGATCTGGAACGTCTTGAATCGTCTCGCGCATCACGTTGTTTTCTCGTCCCCGGGCTCATAGAATTCGACATCAGACGTTTTAGATCTTCGATTTTGACGACCCCGTTGTCGCTGGCATAAGCAACATCATCCGCGTATGAAGTTGCGGGCAGCAGCTATTATATATATATATATATATATATATATATATATACAACATGTAACATAATTAACGCACTTTGAGAAAGAAAAATCGATTCCTATCATTTTTAATATAGGTAATTTTTAATCCCAAAAATAATTAAAACTACGTAAATTACAGTCACACTAAATCTGTACAGTCAAAACAAACTGTAATGGACCTTAACTTAAGGCAATAAGACTTTTAAGAGTGTAGTTTTATTTGTATTATTACTAATTCTGTCATTCAATAAAAATAAAGAAAAATGAACTTTATTTCAAGCGCGTTAAAGTCTTTGCGTTCTTGGATTTGTACTGTGACCACAGCATTCTTCCGGAATTAGTATATCTAATTTGATAAATAATCATTGCATAAAAATGTTTAACTAAAAATTGAGTGTGTGTATTATGATTATAACATAATATCCTAATTGGGGTGTCTGAGGGTGTGCGTTAATTACGTTATATATATACAGGGTGTTAGTGTCAACGCCGTTGTCCTTGAAACCAGTGGTTTGGTTTCACTTATAGAACGTAAATCCAATGAATTAAAAAAAACGCTATTTTCTTTCTATAGTTAAGATAGTTAACAAGTTGGGGTTTTATAAACTTTTTTGTATAGTTAAAAACTTATATTTAGTAGAATGTGTAGAATGATTTACTGCCAAAATGTGAGTTCTTTTATACAAAAAATTAACAAAATTTATAACCAATGAAAATGTCTACATTAAAATGTTTAGAATGTTAACATTAAAATATCGAATAAAAATGTTAACATGCGTTTGATCGTAATTATACGAACGAGAGGACGATAGCGCGAATTTTTTGTACTCTTAGATGCTAAGAAAAAGCGCGGTGGTGATTTCATAATTATAAATAATCATAATCATAAATCTTTATTTGCGAGAATCAAGGTACAAGATGTTCCAATTTATCTAGTGCACTCGTGTTTCGTTAATAGTGGTTTCAAGCGGAAGGCGGAGGTATAAATATGCCAGAAGCATCATGCTACTTCTCATAATATAATATAAAAGAATAAAATCGATCGAAATAAAAAAAATTATTTACTTATAGTAAAATAATTTCTTTTATTTCAACCTTTAAAAAAACCGTTTCTCAGAGTAAAATTATGCAGTATAAAATGGGTTGAACACTTGAACAATAATTATTATTTACAACACTCATATAAGATAAAGCTATAAATATCAACAATGTCATCATTTATAATTAAGCCTTTTTATAAAGTCTTTGTTTAATAAATAAAAAATGTATTTTGTAATACAGAGATCTTGTATTTTATGGGACTTTGTTGTAATAGCATAAACATTTCCCCATGAATGAATTACTGACTCTGTGTAACTTGCTACATATCATGAAGGTTAGAGAACAGGAGAACGATCACTACGTACTAAAGCATAGCCCGCCTGTTTATGAGTACAAGTAGATGAAGTCAGTTGAATAAAGTACAAATTTTCATTTCATTTTATTGAGAAAATTTTCATGCTCCTTAATTTTGTAATTTTTGGCAATAAGAAACATTAAAAAATGCAGAAATATTTTATTGTGCGTGGATGTGCAAGTGGTTTAGCATCTGATCGGAAAATCGTAGACAGAGAAACATATAGACAAATTGACGCCTTCTTTCGCATTCGCACACGAAAAAGATAGATTTATGCATATGTCTTGCATAGAAATGAGACAGAGCGGTCTGATTGTATGTCCTTTTCTCCGTGCCGGTTTTTTTTTGTTTAGCGAACTA